TCATATTATTTGACAGATAATTCCTTTAAAATAACACTCTAAATAGGGTTTTCTGTGGCGCAAGCTTTACTGCCTTATTATGTTTCCAAAATGGGATTAAAAAGTACGTTGTGCATCAGTCAGTTCACATAAATAAGATGTCACTTTGAATATTGACCGACAACATTTTAATTGACCTCTACACACAAATTTGCATACCCTAACACAGTCAAACCTCCTCATCGCTCCTTTGTTTTCTCCTTTCAGCTCATTTACATCAGGTCATTCACCCATGCTAGCTGGATGAAACAACATGCTGCGGCCCTGCGGTCCCCTCGGTGCCTGGTTAAGAGAAGCAAACAGCAGGCCTGGCTTAGACCGCCTGGTCTCTGACAAACAAACTCCTCCCTAAGCTCAGTACACAAGGCTTTTATGAAGCATTGAAGATACCCTTTTTGATGCCAGTTTCAAAATACAGATTAAAGACAAAGTCATGTGCTGCATATCAATGAGAGTTTTTAAGCTGTGCTTTTCAGAGAAAGGAGACTATTTAATTTTTTTTTCTGCCTCAACACAGAGACTTTTTTTAATCTTTATTTGTGAGGGCACAGCTTGAATTAATCATAGTGTTTTGACATAGGAACACCATTGTGCCTGCTGCCAGACTCCTCTTGGTATAAGCTGATTAGCCAGAAGCTGTTTCACTCACCGTTTTTAAACTTCAAAATATGTTTTGTGGTTTCAAAAGTTACCCGTGTTTTGTTGTCGCTGGCCAATTAAACTGTGACTGCAGTCTCACGCTTAATACAGTAGTTGTCTTCTGTCGCAAATAAATGAATTCCTGAGGGTGTTTCTCCATTCAGTGTGCTCCTTTGTTCAGGTTTCATGATTTTCACCTTGGCGCCAATATAAATCGCGGCTGGTGTTTTCTATGTCGGAGTTATTCCAATAACATAAAATCGCTGATGAGACATAGTGTCTCTCAGGTTCTCCATATTGATAAATCGCTGCAGCACTGACGGATTAGGAAGTGTGGCTCAAATGTTCTCTCTGGAAATAACTCCTGATTTACGCTCAAGCACACTGACGGGGATGCTGTGTGGTTTGTACAGTAGACGGCGGCTGAGTACCAATTCATTCGTTGAGATGTGCACTTGTCGCATAGATCTTACTGAACTGTAAGAAGAAGCAAGACTCTAATTGGAGTCGTGTCAATAAAACATATTGTTCTTCATTAGTGAAAGTCGTGAGAAATGAAACCAGTCAGCAAGAAGCAGTATAAATATAAACTAACTGATTTTGTTAGATTGCTTTACTCCGTCACACCGAGCTGTAACTTTGTGTTCTGGCGTGTTGATTCTCCGTCCTTTTCTCTCTTATTATTGACTTGAGAAATGCTGCTGTTGCTGAGTCTCAAGGACTAACATAACAACTTGGCTTTAACCTTTTCATTTTTTCTACACGTGTATTTATGTCTTTGTCAGAGTGGAGACATACAAGTCTTCTTTGTGAAGTTGGGAACACAGAAAACTTTGGATCTGAAGGACCAAAACACATAAACACAGCGATGAAAAAATAATAATGAAAAGTGTATTTTCGTCCCCTGCAGGAAACTATCAGCTCTCACCGACCGTCAACATGCCGCAGGACGACACCGTGATCATAGAAGATGACCGGCCGCCGCTTCTTCCACCCAACCTTTCCGACCAGTCCTCCTCGAGCTCACACGATGATGTCGGCTTCGCCGCTGATGTGACTCCACCGTGGACCAAAGAGCTGCCCAATCAGAATCACAGGTAGGCGAAAACTGTTGTTTCTGGTTAGCGTACAGTTTAACACGTTTTCCACAGAGCTACTGTGCCTAAATCTAACAAAACGGCATATAATATCTGAAAATAATAAGGTTTCTTGGAGAAAAACTTCATCTGCGACAGGTTGTTAGTTTTTACGGCTATTTGAGACCTCGCAGTCATGCAGTATCAGGCATTAGATGTTAGCAGCGGGCTCTTTAAGCTCTGTAAACTGTGAGATGGTTCCATTTGTTCGATGCTCTGAACACTTGTTCTGAAAGCTGTTCCTTCAAATTTTACATTGTAGCCCAGAGCATCATGTTGCCTCAGTAGCTGGCCTATTCCCACAGTGCACCCCGATGCAATTTGTGTCTGACAAGAGCAACAGAAAACATTTTTATTCTAACAGATTGCTGCCATTACTTATTTAATGATTTGCCATTCGAAGGGCTGCACTGTACTGAGACCTTCCTGTCTTATTCAGCATGAACTTTTTCAGCGGTTTATTCTGGAGTAGCTCTTCTGTAGCATCTGACTACACAAGCCAGTCTTTGCTAACCAAAACGCTGTCACCTGTGCGGCTCCTTGGACCACTTCTGCTGGACCCAGTTGTCGAGTCTGACCTTTGTCAGAGTCCCTTAAATCCTTATGATTGCTTATTTCCCTGTTGGCTCAACTTCAATCACTAACTGTTCGCTTGCTGTCTAGTACAGTATATCTCACCCTTTTGTGAGGTGATAATCAGTGTTTTGTCTGTCAGGTGTTGCAGTGTTGTGGATTATCAGTGTGCAGATTGTTTGTATTTTCCAGCTGATTGCTCTTTGATTGTAAGCAGCGTTTCCCGGAGCAGCTACTTTTCTTTCCCCCTACTGTCCTCTCAGTCTGATGTCCTTTTCTGCCACAGTGATGATAAGGACATCTTGAGTGTGTCAGTGTGAGAAAGATTAACAGATATTTTTTTCTGTCTGTTTTTGTCTGTTAAGTTTTTCTTCCATTCTGCTGCTACCTTTATCTCCTCTTTTACTTTCTTCCATCCCGATAACTCCTTGTCTCCTGCTGTCAGCCTTTCTGCCCTCTCAGTTCTGCTGTTTTTATTTTAGTTCTCACCGTCGTGCTGTCTTCACCAACCCTGTTTCTCTCATTGCCCCAATCTATATTCCACTTGTTCCAGTTGCTCAGCTCCCATACCTTCTTCTTGATTTTTGCCCCGTCCCTCCCCGATGCCCTTCATGTTCATGTTTGAAGGCCTCGAGTTCAAAGAGGACAGCTTCTTTGAATTTCTTTGAATCCTTCTTAACTTATACCATGTTCAGCTTTCTTCTTCCCACTTTTCTTTCTTTCTTTTCTTCTTGTAGAATGTGTTTACTTTCACTTTACATTCCTTTTATATAAAAAAAATTATGACAACTATTTCAAAACATTCCTGTTTTTGGAGTAATTGAATCCATTGAAATGCTTTTGAACACATATTTGTGTGTGAGATCAGGTCCAGCTCATCTTAACCTGTCGCTCTCTCCATCCAGCTCTGCGGCTCCAGATGAAAATAATCCAGATGGTGCTTTCCAGAGGGAAGGTTTTGGACGCCAGAGCATGTCAGAGAAGCGCACCAAGCAATTTGGAGACGCCTCTCAACTTGAAATCATCAAGACACGCAAGTCCAAGAGCATGGATTTAGGTAGAGTGTTTAAAAACTTTCTGCTTCTCTCCATCACTCAACTTCGACTTAAGAATTCAAGGATTTTCCAGATGCTACAATAATGCCTTTCATATAGACTAAAGCTGTTTGTACACACTCCTCTTTCATATTCATATCGTGCTAATACTTTTTAAAACATAGTCAGTGTCTTGCATCGATCATCTTTGACTCAGAATATCCCGATGAAAGCTTTTTAATCCCATTCACATTAAAATCCAGGTTATGCTTATAAAGTAATTGTATTTAGACGTCCTAAAGTTTAGAAATAACCAGTTTAATACCCATTGATACATAAAGTAAAAGCAAATAATCCACGAGGACCTGTTATTGTTAAGTCTAAAAGAAAATGTGAACAAATTAATAGTAAAGGCATAAACAACATGAGTGCTGTACCCATGCTTTGTTTGTTGGTGAAGAAAAAGTTGCATATGGCTTCTGAAACTTTTCGAATTTTGATCAGTTCACTAAAGCTAGTTAACTAGTTTAACTGGATTTCATTTAACCTTGAGTGCATATCTTTGCATGCTCCTCGCGTTTCACACATGTACCTCGTATTTAAATGTATTCCACCCCCTTTGCCTCTTGGTTTGAAAACACACTCTGCATCTCTCGCCAAAGTCAAGAACTTCACTGTGTTGATTCACCTTGAAATGGCTTCGAACAGTCGCTGATTGCTTTGGCTGCAACAGTCTCTCTGCTCGCACTCTCTATAATCATATCTAATCTTCCCGACCAGATTGCTGCTGTGTGCCATGTTGATATCACAACAAGTCTGATTGCTATCCTCAAACCCTCTTTTCATTTCCCATCTCCCCCCCCACACCGACCCCACCCCCCTGGTCTCGCATGGCTTCCGATCTTAATTGAGATGAGGCTCGTTCTGATGTTCGCAGCACTACCTGTATGTTGCATGTGGAATGTCGTGAGCACTAACTGAACCCCAAATGTTTGTATCCCTTCTCTCTTTCCCCCCTTCCTTTAACAGTAGCCGACGAGATTAACCTCACACCTCATCCTGAGACCTACGCAGGTAAGGAACGGTGCACTGAAAGGTTGATTTAAAAGCCAAAAAACAAGAACATCTTCATCATATTTTCATTCTTGAGCTGCATCTCAGAAGTGTGGTACTGAAGGGTACAGGTGATACCGTAGTTTTCGGACCATTATAAGGCGCAGTGTCGATGAACGGGTCTGTTTTCACACATAAGGCGCATTAAGTTAAACAAAACAGTCAGATAAGTCAAACTTTAATCAACTCGTTCTTCTTGCTTCCTCCACTTCCGTACCATTGATTCATTAATTTTGAATTCTCTAGCAGCTGCTCTATTCCCATGTTGTTGCAGTATATTAATGACTAACCTCCTGACTGAAGTTTAGTCTGTTTCACACATCCTGCCGTGGGACTGCATTTTCCCCTAACCATCCGGGACCCTCTTAGCGTTCATCCTCCAGCTTCACTGCATTTATGTTATGCTAACATAGCTGTGTTGCTAGCGATCACGTAGCACATCATTATATACCAGCTAGTCCAGCTTCAGTAACCCTACAAATC